GGATGGGGTTGCAATCATTATCAATTCCCGTGAAAGCGATTGGTTTTCTTGAAGGAGAATGGATCCGGAGATGCGCTTATGCAAGTCATCGCCGTGGCGGGCTGTCTGGCCTCCGGCTCGTGATTGGGTTGCTCTGTTGAAGATGTCAACCCCTGAAATCTCAGACCGCTGACCACCAGCCAGCCACGAACACAGACACCACGTTAACTTTCGAGATATTCTTCCAACGTGTGATTTGGATGAGGCAAAGACGATTAAGAATATGTCATCAAAACTATCTGGACAGGACCGACACCTCGCCAAGAAACACAGCCTGAGATGCTGCCTCAAGGGACACTTTGATCTTCAGGGTCGACGCCGTCTTGGTTTCAAGTAGCTTCCAAAGTCCCGCCAATTTTTTCTGAAAGTCCGCAGACTCTCCATGTTTCTCAAGGCTCAGCAGGCCTCCCGACCAGACCGAAACCAAGACCCGTCTTGTGTCAGCTGTCTTCCTGTGTCTCCGGCGTGTGTACTGTAGTGTTTTCTCGCTGGGGGTATGGGACAAGTTCAGAAACTGCGCCTCCAGGTTCTCTTCATTAACTATTACCTGGACAGCCTGGCCGCTTAAGCTCATGGCCGCGGCCGTTGCCTGAATGTGTTGTGACTGCTCTGAGACGAGCCCCTGCGTGTTCATGCTGGTGGATGCCACTTAAATTAACCCTAACCCTTGGTTCCCAGGGGATAACCTCCTGCTGGAGTCATCGGCGATCGCGGACTTTCACCGACCGACGCACGCCAACTTGTCCACCGCAACTCTCGGCGCATCGGCAAGTTTGAAGCCGCCATACCCATTCACACCGCATCCGCTCCCACATCCTTGTTGAGGGACCCGGCCTCCAGGGCGACACAGTCCGCGATGCCGCCAACACAACCACCGCACATGGCCACGCAACCCTCCCTCGCCGCGCCCACAGCATCAGCATCAGTCTTTTCTCCGCGCACCCCCAACTCAACCACCACCGCGTCCTCGACCCCGAACGACTACGACCACCACGACAGCAACCCCTTCATCTCGACGCCATCCTCCAACCCGCATCCCCACCACTCCGCCGGCACACCCTCTGCCGACTACGAAGGGGCCCATACCCAGGACAGCAACCAGCCCCCAGGCGCCGACCCGAACAAGAAACCCCGCGCCTGCGAGTCCTGCCGCCACCTCAAAGTGCGATGCGATCCGAATCCCAACGGCCCCGACATCCCCTGCAGGCGGTGCCTGAAGGCCAAGCGCGAGTGCATCGTCACCGAACCGACCCGGAAGAAGCAGAAGAAGACGGACAGCAGGGTCACCGAGCTCGAGAGAAAGATTGACGTCTTGACCGCCTGCTTGCATGCGAGGGGGGGCGCTCTGGGCGGCGCGGAACAAGCACCGGGAGATGTGCGCGATGGAATTATGTCGATGTCGGGGGTCGTTGGGGGAAGGGATGAAGAGGCCATAAGGTACCCTCCTCCTCCTCCACCACCACCGCCTCCACCACGTCCGGCCGCGAGTCCTGTCGGAGTCTCCACCCCGTCTGGGCTCACAGGGCAGAAGAGGACATTTGGAGAGATGAGGGAGTCAGACGAGGGCATCGCTACCGCTGCCGCCCGCGATGCCGCCTCGTCATCGACTTCGGTCACGCCGCAGCCGGCCCAGGAGTCGTCCGCCAAGGAGCAGCAGCCACCAGATATCGTCGACCGAGGCATCATCACCATGTCTACTGCGCATCAACTCTTCGCGCGGTACACCACTCAAATGTGCATCCACCTTCCTGGGGTTGTCTTTGCGCCCACTATGACAGTTGTGGACCTCCGGGCAACGAAGCCGATCTTGTTTCTTGCCGTCATGGCCGCCGCGTCATCCGAAATCCCGACCCTTCAGCGTGTTCTGATCAAGGAGCTGATGGAGGTCCTGGCTGAGAAGGTCATTGTCCGGGGAAACAAGAGCCTTGAGCTGGTGCAGGCGCTGCAGGTCACCGTCATCTGGTATTGGCCGCCCGAGCGCTTCGAGGAGCTCAAGTTTTACCAGCTCGTGCACGTTGCCGCAATCATGGCGATTGAGCTGGGCCTGGGCCGGAAGAAGCCTGCCAGGGGCGGGTTCAGGAAGCACATCTCGCAGGCGTGGCGAGATCACCCTCTCCGGAAGCATCCGCCGCCTGATCCGACCACCATTGAAGCCCGCCGCGCCTGGCTGACGTGCTACTTTATGGCCACAAACACTGCCATGGCTTTGCACCGCCCCAACCTCATCCGCTGGACGCCCTTCATGGCCGAGTGTATGGAAACCCTGCGAACATCTCCCGACGCGGCCCCTACGGACGAATATCTCTGCCACCTGGTCTGGACGCACAAGCTGGCCGAGGAGGTTTCCGTGCAATTCTCGATGGATGACTCAGCGTCAACGCCTAACCTCGCTGACTTCAAGACGCAATATGTGTTGAAGGGATTTGAACTCCAATTAGAGCGCTACAGCGCTGCCTTGCCAAAGGAGCTGATGAAACGTATGTTTCTAAATCCGTCTTTCAGTTGCGATAGCTGACCCAAAAACAGCATCACTTATGATGAGCTTTCACGTAATCAGCTTGTATATGCACGAGATCGCCACACACAGCGACAGTTCCGACGAGTGTAGACTCCAGCCAAGCGAGCATCTCCTCGGGACCGATGGTGTTATGACAACGGCACACATCAACGCCCTGTCAGCGTGTCTCACTGCCATTGACGGCATCTTCGAGGTGTTTCTCTCGCTTGACGTCGCCACCATCCGCTGCCTAGCCGTGTTCAACTTTGTCCGCGTCGCGTATGCCGTCGTGGTTCTCATCAAGATTTACTTCGCCGCGTCATCGCCTAAGAGCGACCTCGGCAAGATCCTCAGCAAGGATCACATGAAGGTTGAGCAGCATCTGGACCGCTTGCTCGCCAAATTCAGCGACACGGCCTCCGAAGATAAGAGCCGGCCGGCCGCCAAGTTCCTCATCGTTCTGGTCATGATCCGGTCCTGGTTCCAAAAGCAGAAGCAGATCCAGAACGCAGCGCAGAACGCGGGCGGGAATGCCACAGAGCCTCCCCCTTATCCACCCCGGCCCAGCAGCCGTGAGAAGGGCACCTCAACTCCCGCTCCCCAGCGGCCTCAAAAGCACAACTACCCCGCCGCACAAAGCACGCCCCTCCACGTCCTTTCAGAAATCGCAGCCAACGATTCAGCCAGCAACTTGGGCCCAAACCCAAGCACCACCGGCCCCCGCCCATCCACCTCGGCCGACATCCTCCCACCGCATTCCACCACCACCACCTCTCTCCCCAGCCCCTCCCCTGGATGACCCGCATCCCCTTAACCACCCTCTACGACCCCACCGCCCCATCCCCATCCCAACCGCAACCCCCAAACCACCCCCTCCTCCAACCCCACCCACCACCTCCTTCCACCCGTAATCCCCACCCATACCCAGCAACCAACCACCACCGCCTCATCCCACCCACAACAACAACAACAACAACCGCCAACAATTTCCCTCCCCCGGCAGCCTCCCCTTCGACTGGGATGACCCCAGCTCTCCATTGCCGACTTCGACTACGACTACGCCAACCTCGGCGGGGGTTTGAACAGGCCATGGACATGACGCTGGGCGGATTCATGGAGCATGGTGGGTTTCCGCAGATGGAGATGGTTATGATGGCGCATCAGCAGGATCCGTCGGGGTTGGCGGGCCTGGTGCGGTGGGGGTGTTGGTGGGGTTGTAGGTGGTGGGAATGGGAGTGGGAGTGGGGTGGGGGTGTGGGGTGGGGGTATACTACTTCTGCGGGGTTGGGGATGGGCACGATGGGGGTGGGGGCTGGGGCGATGGGTGGTGTTGGTGGTGGTGGTGCAGGGCAGGGGGCGGGGTGGGGGGTTTAGGTATGCAGTATGAAGGTTGTGAGTGTGTGTAGCAGAGTGGGGCTGACAATGGTCTGAGGAGGGTTTGTTTGGATTTTGGGATTGTATTGTTATTTCATGGGGGTTTGGGGGCGATTGACCGACGAATCGCTTGAGGGTTATGTCGAATGGGTTGGACATTTACAGCGATGTTGTTTGGGATAGAGAATTTGCGTTAGGTAAGGGACAGGCGGGAAAGCCATTGTTTATCTAGGAGGGCGTTAAGAACGAGGTATATTCTTCATCTATACCGCTGGGATGCAGCACTTGCATACAAATTTTGAATACAGGAACAAACTTCTTTCAACAAAGACATTCTGTCCTCTATATTTCTCAAACTGTCTTTCCTGCGTCCCCTCGTGGTTCTTGTCAATACGGCCTTTGGATTAAATCCGGTTTGAAACAACTAAAATGCGTTTCGAAGTTAGCGAAGCAACATCTCGCAAGCCAATCACGAAACACCCTCTGTCCTTGGTCAGTTACTGTAGTAATTCGGCGCATGAAAACGAAGAACGACTCAACAGAAGAAGCGAATGTCATTCTCAGGTTCGATCCGTACATAATAAAAGCCATTGCTCAAGGGCAAGTATGCAATAAACGATTGGTTTGTTTGCTGGTAAGCGAGCCCTTTGCCTCCCTTAACTTCATGTTGTTTCCCCATCCCAAATCCCCAATCTGGAGTAGCAGTACGTAGTTAGACAACCAAGCCCAAACCAGCGCAGCGCTAATCATACACTCTGGTTCCCGAGAAAAGCAAAGAAATCCGTAATTACCCCGATGCCTAAGTGATGCCCCGTGTTCCTCGTGACCTGACCTCCACTCACAGACCTGCGATGCCGTAACCGCCGCTTACTGATGTGACCGTGTCTCCCGCATGGCATAACTTGCCTGCCTATGTGACAACAACCCCGTGAACTCCGTTGCTTGCTTGCTTGCTTGCTCGCTCTCCGTTCTTTGCGACCCTGCTCCAAATTGCCGAGTTTGCGTGTTGAAGGGTTTTTTTTTTTTTTGCTGGTTCCCGAGACCGACGCCCGAGATGCAAAACACCAAAAACCATGCGCCGGGCAAAAGATGGGCGACCCCGGAATCGAACCGGGGTTTCTTCGGTCGTTGGGAACCACTGGGGATTCCAAAGGGAAGCCAACAAACATCGCCGAGATCCCACAACGAAGCGTCCTGACCACTAGACTAGTCACCCTTGGATGGTGGTGGGTTCGAATGTGCTGCTTGAGTTGTGCGGTCCAAAGAGTGGGTCCGAGGGCATCATAAAAAAACGCTGATTTGCTCTCCACCCCGAGAAAAGAGGGCCGGATGTCGGGGAACAAGGATGACCCGACAGTAAAGGTGGTTGCTGAATGAGACCAGCTCGTTAAACTGAGCCCCGACCAGATGAACGGAATCCCGAGAAAAATGGAATGCCCCAACCGATGAAGGAAACCCGAGAAAAAACCAAATGCGCCGGTCCATCCCCCCAAGTTCAAATAGAAAACGCCGACTCCCAAGATAGTATGTTGTAAGAATGTAACGCTCAAGCCAAAACTGAAGAGGCCGCTCATGCAAAGTGGTAGACTTTGAGAACCTCTCCCGTTGGCACACGGGTTAGTCCATGTAGAAATCGCCCTTCAGGATGCGCTCCTGGAAGTGATCGGGCTTCTGTGGTCCGCGCGGCCGGGGCGGCTGGGCGGGGGGAGCGGGCATGTCTGAGACAGACTTGGCCCGGTCGTGGCGAGGGCTGACGGGCGGCGGCGGAGCGCGCGGAGGGGAGGTACCGAGGCTCGAGCCAAACGAAAAGGACGGCCTTGCGCCGGTGACGGTGCTCTCGGCACGAGACCTAAGCTGCTCGGACCAGTTGAAACCTTGGTCTGTTCGAGCAGAAGGAGAGCACAAGTCAGAACCCGTTCTTGACTGGTTTGCAGCGCTTGCCTGAGGAGTGATCTTCCCCCACGTGTAGCTGCCAGCGCCGGCAGAAAGAATCGGCGGCGCGGGCGGGCTACCGCGGACGGTGCTGGTGCGGCGGGCCGGCGGGGGCTGCCTACCGTTGGTCCCGGGGCTAACGGGCCCTCGCGCACTACGCATGACTTGATTGGCGCCAACGCTCATCCGGCGCCCGAAGGGAGTGGTGGGTGGAGCACGGCCGTTGTCGTCTTCTTCAATGGCGTTCTCGTCAACCGAGTCTGCGTTGGTAGACATGCTGGCGCGGCGCAGGAACGCGGAGGGTGTAGTGGGGGAGGTGCCCGAGAGGCCGAGGGTAGTGACAGACAGCCTCCGGCGCGGGTCGTTGGAGGCAGCCGAAGCCAATGGGGTAGGGAAGGGTGTGGCCGGTTGTTGCGAGGTCGAGTTGTTCCTGAAGAAGCTGCTGAAAGCGCTTGAGGTAATGGAACCACGTCGCTGGCGGGCCATGTCGTTGGAGTTGTTGTTCGAGTTTCCGTTGTCTGAAGACATGATGAAGGAGTGTGAGAAGATGTCTGGAGAAGCTATGGTCTTATAATGCAATAGACGGATCTCTCGATGCAATGGCGGGCGCAAGGGTAGCCTGTCGCAATGCAGCTGTTGGGTCGGTAGAGTCGTGTGTAGAGCAGGCTCGTATGTTCTGTCGGCTGGGATCGTTCGAGAAGGATGCACCGGCAGTGCTCTGGAAAGTGGAAGTGAAACGCTTTAATGGGGAGCTGTGTGTGGGGGTCGAACGATGATGGAGGTTGTGTGACACCGGGATGCAGTGCACCGCGGTTGCCCTTTTTCTTTGACGGCAGAAGCCAGCGACGCCCAGTAGGGTGATCAGCAGCCCCTCGTTCGATGCGAAAACGCCCCGTCGCCTTCGTGCACGACGTCAAGGCCCACGAGCCGGGAGCAAGGCGGTTGCAATGCTCCGTTCGGTCTTTGTCTCGCCCAAACGGTGGTCCGCAGGTTGCGGTCTGGACCGTGTCCAGTACGGAGGCGGGGTATCTCTGTGACGCGTGCGCTGACTCGATTTGATGCAGCTGAGGCTCGACACGAGTGGTGGTTGGGGGTAAGATGGTTTGGAAGGAGATAGGAAAGAAGAGAAGGAGGAATTGCAAGAGAAGGAGTCAAGAATCCCAGGAATAGCAAAGATGGGCCCTTTCCTTCCTGTTGCCTCTCCGAAGGTCGCAGTTGCTCATTCAGGAGCTGGCTGGCGTTGATCACTGGCGACAAGGGTTAGCCGCAGTCAACGGGCGAACTGGCTTCCAGAAATACGATTGGCTACCGGGTGTGTGAGTGGGGTCAATGGCTAAACGACCAGCCAATGGGGGATGCATCTGCACATGCTCAATCCGGGGTGCCTTCCCCAGCCGTCAGGGGGCCGACCCCCGGCCGTAACAATCGAGGCAAAGCCAAGATCCGGCTCGACGTCAGGGACCCACTCTCTCATGCAACCAATTGAACCACGTGCGGGGTAACTTCGAGCTGTTCCGCGACAGGAAAGGGCAGCCGCGAGAGGAAACGCGCAAGAGAGGCATGGCTGGGTTGGGCACGAATTCTCTCTGGACTCAGAATTTGCATGTGCTCGTGGCCTGACTGCCAGGTGAAGCCCAAACATGAATGTTTTCTCAGACGCAACTGCCACGAGCGCTGGCTTGGCGAGGGCGTCCCAGATGCTCCACCGGAGCTTAACCGATTTAAGCATTTGGTGTGGACTCTCCCATGATCGATCCGACGACGAACATCCTCTTGACTCTTTCCTCTCCATGGTTCTCGACGTTAGGCGTGGACGTTGGTTGGTGATTGGTGTCTCGCCTCCCGATAGGCAATGATGCGATGCACATCACTTTTCGCCACAAACAACGATGGTTTGGTTTGCTGAGCGAGCTGAGATCTGCCCCTCCCGCTGGGACGCCGCAGACGAGATCCAAAATCCCAACTGAAGGTCCCGTCGTCTCAGCCGGGGGGCCCTCGCGACCCCCCATCTCCGTCCCTCGCTCCCCCACCATCTCCCCCTCAGGATGGCAGTGGTTGGCAGGCAATGACGCCTGCAGATGCGCTGTCCCGTAAGCCGCAGCTTCGGGGTTAATAAGTCGCCATGCGAGGTTGTCCGCATCCGGAAAAGACAATCAACCCCCAAATGTGTGTCTCAGGGGGATGCTTGACCACGGACTCCCGCTCCGCCTCCCGCCCAACGTCAGGTCCAGCCGAAGCGCCCTCTGTGCTCCGCCGTGTCACCGTTCCAGCCTCACGATGCGTGCTGTACGAAGCACCTTATCAACAACTTCAGCGCTCACCGCTCGGGCGAGAACCACCTATCTTGCGGACGGACCAGCGTCCAGTCTTGGTCCATGGGGGATGCTTGCACTTTCCCATTCCCGCTGCGGATGGGCAACTTGGCGGACGTGCAGTAGCTTGCCAAGTCGACGGCGAGCTAGCAGGGACTTCAAACCATGGAAGCTCATCGAGCACTGCATCTCTAGCCAATTCGATGCCTCAGAGATGAAGCAACCTAAGCAGACACAAGCCAATGGTCTGGCACGCCCATCGTGGGACAGATCTGGGAATATTCCCACCGTTCTGACCGGAACTCCTCCAAGAGATTCGCGAGAAACGAGGGTTGTATCGCATCCTTCTCATCCCCCTCAAAACCACCACCGTGCCCACTATCGAATCGGATTCGCTGGGACCAGAAGCCGCGTGGCAAACCACCTCGCCTTGGGCAGGAAGAGAATCCCAGAAACAAGCTGGCATTTCAAGGAAGCCCAGGTTTGCAGTAGCGTCGCTAAGTGTATCACCCTGTGGGTTGATGACCATCTCGTTAACCCCCAGGCGTTACCATGTGCACACAACAGTGCATCGCCACAATGCTCGCTGCGTCACCGCCCTCCAATCATGAATACTTGCCTCGCAGAATCTCAGAGACTACCCGATGTGTTACAAAGCCCTTCCCATAGATGGGAGAAGGGTGGGGAGCATGTCATCACAGCTCGAGTTAGCGAAGGAGTACCCAAGGCTGTCTACGTCCATGAGAGAACTAGAGACCTTAGAGCTTTAAAAGCTCCTTTCCCATTCTTGCCAGCTCCTGCACCTCCCTCTGCACATGACTGCTTCCCGCATCCTGTCTCTGCATGCAATTCACGTCGAAGTGGGCCGAAACCCGGGCGCTCGTCTGCGCTTAGAGTCCTGCTGGCTTCCCCGAACAGCGCTACTGCAACGAAAGTGCAGAGTGAAACCCACTGCGGACCTGCTCCGAAGTCTAGTTGAACTTCACCTCAGCCCAGCGGATAGAGAGGCCCCCGTTTTTGGTATGCCTTTTACTCAGCCCTTCGTCTCAAAGAGCAGGAACAGCCCAAATGCTTTGTACTTTTGACATCGAACTTCAGCTTCGCCGTCGTACAAACTTCTTGACAATTCTTTTATCCTCCGTTGGGTTTGCTATCAACGATCGTCATCGCCCAACTTTCTCCAGTTCCTCAGCCCCAGACAACCCCCCTAATCTACCCTCCTCCCTCCCTCCCAGGCTCTCATTCATGTCAACAGTCCGCCTGCATACCAGCCACCCCCGCTGCACCTGTCGTGCACCACATCTTGCAGAGGAAAACGGTAACCGGTCAGACAGCAAGACGTTGCGCCCTGCGAGTGGCTGCCAACAATAACATCCACGCCCACTCTGAGTGGGTCCTCCAAGAGGATTCTTGTTGCTGTGTCTGCTCAAGGTCATGGATGTGGCATCTCTTGGCCACTTTCCCCATCCTCTTTTCTGTTACGTCTTGACATTTCCTTGGTAGTTGTTTTGGTTTGTGGTGTCCTTTTTTTTTTTGCCAAGGCATCAGATCAGAACAGGAGGGGGCCCATTCCCGAGTCCTCGGGTCATGAACGTCCCGGTTTGTTCAACATGAGGGAGGCATCCGAGGGAATGCTGATTGTTCCATAGTTTTCCAGTCTGAATGCTGTGATACAGTGGGCGTCACAGTGCATTGTTGGTGCCTTCGGCTTACTTCTTTGAGCCAGACAATTGCACAGGAAGCAAAGTGGGTGGGAACACACAAACACCATACCGCCAGGGAGTTGTAAGTCCAGGACTCAGACTTAGACCAAGAAACATCACATCACTTTGCACCACTATTTCTGGGTTACTTCGTCTCAAGCAATACACGACGAACGAGGGGGAGAGAGAAAGCTCAAGGCAAATTCGCTGCTCATGTTCAACGACATGGGGTATCCGCAGATGTACAGGCAGACAGACACTGCAAAATC